AAACACATCATCCGAAGTAATGAACGCTGTTTTTTCTGCATCAGCTGGGTGCATGAATATCTAATGGTAACCCCGGAATGCATCCATGAAGCTCAGCAATTCACATCCGGCAGTTTCATCTACTAGCAGATCTATCCTCGGTACTGGATAAGGGTCCATGGGGCAAGCTTTATTCAGATCCGAGTAATCCACGCACATTCTCCAAGTAGATTGCTTTGGGGCTAGGACCACATTTGATAGCCATTCTACGTGGATTACTGGACGGGTGTGTTTTATTTTCAGCAAGGTGGCCACCTCCCGTTTTGTGAATTCCCGTCGTTCGGTTGCTTGATATCGTTTCTTCTGCTGGACTGGTTTTGCATCAGGCCGAACGGCAAGTTTCTGACATATTATCTCCGGGTCAATACCTGGCATATCTTCTGGCCCCCGGGCGAACAACACCTGAAACTTTTTTAGGACGGCAATCACGCCATCCCGGATGTCAGCCTCCAGATCTACCCCGATAGCTACCTTACGGTTCGGGGGGAAATCCAGGTCGATTTGTTCGAGGAGAGTGGCGGGTTCTGGGTGTGCCTCGAACTCTGTTCGGTGGGTCTCCACCTCAATTGTGTTAACCCACATCCCACGAGTGTTCATCTGTTTCAGGGCCTCTCAATAACATGTCCGGGCTGTCGTCGGATCAGTTCTGGCCACCCCAACCCCGATGTCAGTAGGGAATTTGATGCATGAGTGGCGGACAGAGGCTATTGCCTCCAGATCTTCCAATCCCGGTCGGCCCAATATGGCATTGTGGGCACATTTTATATCCACCACCACGAACGTCATTCAGAGTGATGCTTTGTGCGTTTCATCCCCAATTTCAACCATCAATCGGATGGTCCCCTCAGCCTCAATGCAATTACCGGTGAAACTTGCCAGTGGGGTCCTTAGGTGGGTCAGTTGACTTCTTTGTAGACCCATTTTCTCGAATGATTGTAGATACAATACATTCACACTGCTCCCGGTATCGATCAGTACTCGGCGGATCAAAGCATTGTCAATGCACATGCTCACCACCAGTTCATCCCTGTGCGGGCTTGGAGAGTTGGGTAAATCAGCTGGCCCGAACGTGATCGGGTCCTTCCTTCCTTTCTTCTGGGGGGGAGTGGAGATGGATCCCACATAGAGATTTCGCTCGAACCTTTTCCGTTCGGCGTTCGAATCCCCTGTCTCCCCGCCCCCAAAGATAACCTTGACCTCCATTCGAGGTTTCTTTCCAGGGCCTCCAGAGCCCTCCGGTTCATCCCTGGGGGGAACATATACTTCATTTTGAGGCTGGGCATCACGTGTGGCATCCCGGCGCCAGCTATTGGGTTTCCTGATCGGTTTCAACGTGCCCACAGCATTTGAATCCTTATTCACGTATTTGCCCAGATGACCCCGTCGGATCAAATCCTCAATGGCCGTTTGTAGGGCCCTGCAGACATTGGTGGCATGACCCTTTCTGTTGTGATATTTACAAAAAGCAGAGTCGTCTGCTCCCATAAATTGTGCAGAATCAGTCGGGAGGGGAATACTGTCCCTCTCGTGCTGATAAATGGTCGCTACTGATAGGACCAGGGGAGTAAATCTCCCTTGCTTGGGAGGTATAGCGGCCACTGGGCTAGGACCCAGCCGATCGGCCATTCTGATCGGGGCAGCAGGCGCAACGACCTTATCCCTGATCATTATCTCCTCTTCTAGGGCAGCATGCTTGCGAGCTCTGTCTAATACCTCGGCATATGCTGTACCCGGATTTTTCTTCAAATCCTTGTATAACTCCCCCGTTCGGAGTGCATTCGTGAATAAGGTAATGGCGGTATCATCCGTCGTGTTTCCCACTGTCAGAGTTTCATCCCTCCATCTTTTTAAGAATTGATTGAAGGTCTCTTTGGCGTTCTGCTTCACGCTGGTCAGATAGCTGAAGTGTCGTTTGGGATTGGCACTGGAAGCAAACTGGGCCAAGAATAACGTCGATAATTCGCCGAAACTGTTGATTGACCCAGGTTGGAGTGTCCCGAACCACTCCTGGGCGGGCCCTCTGAGCGTACTAAAAAACAACCGGCAAATAGCAGCCTCGGGTGCTCCTAGTAGCATGAGCCCCCCTTGGTAACTCCTCAAATGCAAATGGGGATCTCCCACCCCGTCATAGATTTGACCGGTCGGTGGTTTGGCACCCCCTTGGATGTCTGCGTACATGAGTTCCCTGGTGAAAGGGGAAGTAATTCCCAGCTGAACTGGGGCAGGTTGTACAGGCGCCCTGTTCATCTGATCCCGCATCTCGTTCATATGCCTCCTCATCTCAGCCATTTCTTCCTCCTGGGCCGTAAAAGGGGGCGGTGGTGGAGCCCTCATGTCTGTATAGTCTCGGTCCCAATGCCGTTGAGCGGCCCTGGTATTATCCCGCTCTGCATACTGGAAATGATGACCAATGGGAGTTGGTCCCCTAGCTTGTGACCCGATCGGGGTTCGGTCACTGGGACTATGATGCGCTGTTGGTGGGGCGCTACGGCGATTATCCCGATGGGCATGCGAACGGGATGACGCTGTGGTTGTTTCCGTGCGTGGAGTCTCCCCTGTAAAGCTGGACCCTCCTTCCTCCTCGTTTGCCATATGCTGCATGACCTGGGCCATATCTCGCATGGCCTGAGGATTTCTTCTCAGAGATTCAGGAATCACAAAATCCCCATCAAAACGAGGATACGATCCTCGGCTGGATTGTCCCTGAGGGGTTTGATTCCCCGGGGTGTGACTCCTTCCGTGACGGCGTGAACCGTCGTTTGTATGATAGGAACTGATTCTGACCATTTTCGAAAATAGTGGGTTTTTTGGATGATTTGAATGTGAAACTTTTTGAACAGTTTCCCACAGACGGCGCCAATGTTGAAAGTAAATCTCGTAGATCCGAAAGCCCAACACGAACTTTGGATATATCAGGAATGGTACAGAATCAAAGTGTATAATCAAAATATAAAATATGGACTCACTAATACTCGAAAGCTCACTTGTATTAATTAACCAGTCTGATTACAAGGAAATTCCCGATCGGTAGGTCGGAAACAATGCTTTAATACAAGAAATAAGAGCAATGATGCTATTCTAGAGCCTGAGTATTGAAATGATAACCCTTACAATGATTTTAAACCTTCTATTTATACTAATGGAGAGCATGGGCTGCCCTATGCTGATTGGCTGTTGTTCCACCGACTTGGTCACCCATGTTTCCACTTGCTGATGTCACAATTTGGCATTAATTGCACCTGGCCACTTGCCGGTTGTCCGTTGCTCGAACGGGATGTTGGACTATGCTGAAGACGCTGTCAAATTGGCCCAAGTATGATATATAGTCCGAACTCCGTTCGGTATATCTTCTTACTGGGCCAACCCTTATTTGGGCCGAATCTCGTTCGCCATGAATTCTTCACTGGATCTACTCATCATAGAGTGATGGGCCCGTTGCTTGGGCCGGGTATCTTGGGCCTTCTTGATCCGGGTATTGGGCCTCTGGATCAATATCCCAACAACTCCTTTATAGAATAGCACAACATACTCCTTTGCAGAATAGCAAGTCGCTGTCACTGTGCATGAGGGGGAGGATGATGACAATTTCTCAGGTTTTTCATTAATTGAAACTTCAATCCTTCAAAAAAATGTTGAATGGATGCGCTGCAGTTTCTAGTCTCATTAGCAACATACAAAACAATTTTTTGTCTCAAAACTCAGTAATAGTTGATCTGCTAGATGTTGAAATCTAAAGAAGATATAAATCACAACTAAAGTTATATAGAAAATAATCCACGGGCCACGACATCTGAATTTAAAAGCATAACAGAAAGCAAAATATAATAACCAAAATGTAATAGTAATAGCAATTATAAAATTCACAGAAACTAAGCAATTGCAGGCTTCTAGATTAAGCACTTTCATAATTCAGATTATAATACCTTACAAATAAGCAACTTCAGCTTTTCGAATTACAAATTTACAAATCGACATGTAAATTTGAGTTTACCTTGAAAAATTAGGTTAGAAACTTAAATAGTTAGGAATCAAGTTGGAGGGAGATGGCACGCGAATTAATGAGGGTTGGAGGAATTACCATTTACTTGAATTTGTTCGTCGGCTATGAGCCTAGAACTAGTGTCGGGGAGCTGGGGAGCCTGTCATGCTTTAGGGACGAAGAAGCGACCGGCGAGTTGGCGTGCTATGTTGCGGTGACTGGTCACCCCGGCGAGTTGGCGTCGATGTGTCATAGAGTCATAGAGGTGAAGATGAGTGATTGGAGAAAATAGATGGGACTGGAGACCTGTCATACTTTAGGGACGAAGAAGCGACCGATGAGTTGGCGTGCTATGTTGCGGTGACTAGCCACCCCGGCGAGTTGGCGTCGATGTGTCATAGAGTCATAGAGGTGAAGACGAGTGATTGGAGAAAATAGATGAGACTGGAGGCCGAAGGTATGGATGGAAGGAGACATGTCAAGATGAAGAGGGCGAGGAGGGTTAGAGGAGAAAAGTCGGAGCAGAGGATGATTTTTTCTGTTTGAATGTGCGATTGATTTAGGATTTAGAATTCAGGCTACTTTTGAAATAAAAGAAATAAAATTGAAAAGTTAAAAGTTAGATATGAAAACTATTTTATGGGTGGACATGAATGATATGCCAAACAAAAAACTAACCGAATCGGGATATTTCCACTTTTTTAATTCTTTATATTAATATGGAGCCTCGATTTTACGTTTGGAACGGGGCCTCCAAATTCATTAGACGGCTCTTTAAATATAGCCATTTATAGCAGTTCCCAATAGCTACACGCCCCACCCCGTAAAATAAAAAAACAAACAAATTGTCGGTTGGGACTAAAAACGGGAATGCCAGGTTTGGACCCCAATTTTAATAACCAGGACCGGGTACCCCTTTTACCAAGTCAGGTAACCGGTCTTAACCCGGAACCATTTTTACAGTACCCGGTTCCGGTGTGGGCCGAGTCCAAGCCTATACGTGTACCTAAACAATAAATGCAATGATTCAAGAAGTTCATCTCATATTACACTTTACCAGTTTGAAAGCATATCAAACCCGATTAAGTTTAAAATAGAAAGGAGACAACAAGATGTGAAGCTTTTCTATCAAGCCAAATAATGATACAACTTCCTATCAGTTTTATCTCTTTCTAAAAACTCCCGCTCGATCAGAGACTCAATCCGTTTCTTTATAACCACAGGATTGGGCAGAAACCGTGACTGCAAGTGCTTTGTCACCTCCGCAACAACATTGTTATGATCCAACACCCTGCGCGATTTCATGATCCTCACAATTGCTGCCTCTATTTGTGGTTTCCTGTCCTCCTCCACCCTCTGTCTTGTCTCGTGTTTCTCTGGTTCAGATTCCTTCTGGGCAACCACAGTACCTATTTTAACCTTAAAGAACTTGCTTGTGAATTTGTCGTTGAAGAAAAACAAATCATCTTTGGCAATTTCCTTACTCATTGGCTCCTTGCGGAGAACGTTCTTCCCTTTGACACAAGCAAGAGACTGCAAACACCTCTTAAGATCTGACAAGGGAATCTCTGTTGCCTGTTCAATGTCTTTATAACTCAACATGTCAGAATTGTTAAAGAGCATCAGGATACACATCTGGTATGTGGAAACATTAAGCTCGTGCTTCTGTCCTTTCCCAAAGGTCGCCTTAAGGTCAGCGGTCCCCATGTTTGTCTGCCATGTCAGCCTCCTTCCAGTGTGGGTCCCAAGGTAGTAGGACTTGAACTTTTCACACACCCCGAGAATCTCTGTGGGGAGGTTGCACGGGGTGACTGATTGTGTGGGCCAGGATCCAGTGGTGAGGACCTGGACATCAAGTGTGGGGGAATTAGACAGTTCACCCGGACCCACAGCCGCATAGAAGCCCTGCATGGTGTCCTGTGATGTCTTCATGTCGGTGAACATGCCTTCCAGTTTTGAGGTGAACTGATACCCACACTCTGTTTTGAGCTTAACTATCAAACTTCTCTCGGCATCGTCGGAGACAGTCTTCCCAGAAAGGAGCCGTTTGGCAAGGTGCTGTTTGTAGTACTTCTCAAAAACATCCTTCTCCTGTAGGTATCGGAATAGCGTCATAACTTTGTCCAATAGAATCTCAACATCCTCCTCGCTAACCCCTTTCAACCCTTTTCTGAGATTGTCATCCACGAACAAAGAGATGAACTCGGGAGATCGGGGATTCAAGTTGATGAAATACTCAAACGAGGAGTTTAGGGCATTCTGGAACATCTTATCGTTGTTAAAGGCCTTGCATATAATCCTATCATGTTTATCCTTCTCGTCCAATAGCCTTTGAACAAAATCAACAGGATCCTTTGACTTTTCTGGATCGGTGACAAGTTGCTTCCCGGTTTCTCGAATGTGAGAAGTCATTACATCTTTTAGTAGTGACAGTCCATTTGATACTCTTCTGAACAGATTGTACATCCTTCCCAAATCATCATACTTATCATCATAAATCAAATTCACTAATCCTGAATTTTCCATGTGGACTAACCTCTGCATATGAATTTCGACCATCTCCCTCTCCACAACAGCAGTGATTTTCACCTCACTTCTTCGATCCAAGTAATGAGAAACCCTCTCAATCTCTTCATTGAGCCTTTTCTCAGCCTTCTTCAAATACTGCCCACAGTCACACGACTCTATGAAACCCTGAGACTCGACCTGGTAAAAATCGGCCGAGACCTCAAGGAAAGGAATCTCAAAGTTGTCTTCATAAACTGAAATACCTAAATCTATCAGCATTTTAGTAATATTCCTCATTAAGCTCCTATTTATCACTTCCCCGGTCCTCTCTTGTTCCACGAGTTTGAGAAGTGTGTCCTGAAGCCTTGTTTGGATTTTGACGGAGTGAATAACATTGTCTCTCCATAAATTCAGTCCGAGCTCATAAACCGGTGTTTTGTGTGTATTAGAAATGAAAGTCCTGTCCATATACATTAGTATGTCACGGATCATTTGCAATGCCTTGTTATGGTCATCCCACTTTCGGATGAGCTCTTCCAGAAACAATCCACCCTGGGCAGCCTCTATTGACTTTGAAATCTCTTTCAAATGTACAGTCAAAGTCAACACGAGGCCAGAGTAGAGAGTTTCTCCAAATTTATGTAGAACCATGTTGTATGCATTCCTGAAAACACCACATATTACGGGTGTGTTTGGATCATGGAAAATATTAGTAAGAGAAAAAAGTGATTAGAAGGGAAGTAACTTTCTTGTGTTTCATTTTACCACAGATGCAAAAAAATATATAATATGAATAATCTTTTAAAACATGTTACACGAGTTTACATTTTTAGCCTTTATATGATGTAAATAGATTAATAAAATGAGTTTGAACTTTGAGCCAATATAAAATATATGAAACTTAAACAAACTCAATATTTTCTCTCAAATTTTCTTAACTTCCAAATTTTCATGACTTCCAAATTCTCTGTTGTAACTTTAACAGAGAGACATGCTTCCTTTATAGAAATGCCTAAATTGTGACTTAAATATATACGTAGTACAAATTAAGCAAGCCATACAAAAACATTTATTCTGTACATTTCTTCATCATTCTACCATTTCAAGATCACATCCTAGCACAATTGAATTTTTTTTGTTCTACTTATAATTAGAATAACATAATATCTTGTCACCCAAGAAAAGGTGAATGACAAGGTTAAAAAACCTACAAGAATAACAAAACTGCAGCCTGCAGGCATCCTTCTTTTCTACCATTGCTCATGTTATTATCAGAATAAATCAGAACAGAGTACAAGGAAATGTGTGCTGAAATGAGAAGTAACGCAGAAAGAACCAGACCACACAAAATTTCAAATTTAAGCAGTACCTCACCAGCAACATCAAACTTATGCGTTTAAGCATTCTACTATTCTACGATATTAAAACCAGATACCGATCAAATACACCATGACAGGCATGTAGCCATATATAGAAATGTATAAGAATCAGCAACCCAAACCTATATAGCTCTTCAAAACTAAGGCCACTGGCGTTATGATTGTAAATCTCGTGAATCGCGTGCTCAATAATACTCCAGGTCTTCTCTGCGTATTTCGGATCAACCACCACCCGATGCTTAAAAGCCCCAATCTGAAAGTTCCTCTTTTTCGGTGCACTCATATCTCGCCTGAACCCTCAACTCCTCGAAACCACGCTCCTCTCCCGTTCCTTTAATTCCAAAATTCAAATGGAATCTCGTCGATATGTCGGTCTTCCGATCTGATTTAGAAGTAGGGCTTTTCAGCAGAAATTGATTCAGCTTTTCCTCTCTATTTTTGAGGAGTATGAATCAATTTAACTTTACACCCTACTTTCAAAAAAATTTGGTTTTTGCATCTCATCACATAACATTTTTCGAAAAAAATTTGTGAATTAGGTGCAAAATCAAAAGATTTTTAAATGAAATGAGTTCTTAAGTCAAAGTTTTTTGAAAATAAGGTGCAAAGTCTAATATCACTTCAAAAGTAGAAGGTAAAGTCAAATACCCTCTTCTAGCAACAATTTAAAGTAACACAGAAATAGTACTTTTATCACTTTCACCTAAATACTACAATATTTATTTTTGCTCTCTCAAAAAACAGAAATAGTTTTCAAAAGAAAAAATTTCACTTTTGGTCCTATGACTATTATACCACTTCCATATTTAGTCTCTTATTTTCAGATTGTCCACATTTAGTGCATGATCATTATCCCCTCACCACCCCTCGTCCTTCTGACCAAAATTCCGACAAATGTAGTCCACTTATCAGCCTCAGAATTAGTCTTTGCATTAAATTTTATATAAGTTTGGGTTTTTCATATCAGTCTTTGCATTAAATTTGGTTTTTCATACCTAAAATCTGCATTAAATTTGCCGGAAATTTGACCGGAATGACGAGGGGTGGTGAGAGGATAATGGTCACGGACTAAATGTGGACAATCTGAAAGTAAAAGACTAAATGTGGAAGTGGTATAATAGTCACGGGACCAAAAGTGAAATTTTTTCATTTTCAAAATTAGATGTAAACATAAATTTAGGTCTCGAAATGTGACAAGAATCTGAAAAATCTCTAGGAGCGAATCCTAATTACTTTTATTCATGATTGATTGTTGGGTAAAGCAAAACATAAGCTTCAAAACTTAAATTGTTAGAAGTAAAAGGTTTTGAAATCCAAATATAGTTATGTTTTTCTTTCCGAAATAGAAGTCAACAATGTTATGATTGAAAAATCATGTCAATGATAGCAATATATAATAACTTCAAGATAGTAGCAAATACTACTCGTAACACTCTACTGCTCTCTCTAGAAGAAAAATATAGTAGTCATATTTCAATTTTTCAAAACCTATTTTACTCATATTTCGAAAACTTTGTGATTCTTTGGGTTGTACGATTCTTCGGTCAAGTAATTTGTGAACCACCATTTGGAGATATCTATGGTACCTCTTCAAATTTGGAGTGTACCATACATTTGTCTTCTTCACCCAATAGCATTCAAAGTCATTTCATTAATGGATGTTGTAAATTTCCATGTGCCACTATTTCATTTGCCCACACAATGAGATGCACCATACCTTCCAAATTTCCAAAGGCACCATAGCATGACCCCCACCATTTTTGTGAACCCATACAATGAAATTCTTATTTTGGAGTGTTTCGAAATTGGCATTTCAGTCAAAAAATAGTAGTTTGACCTTTTTTAGCATTTTCAATAAGTAAAAATGATGTTTGGTAAATAGTTGTTTGACCCTACCATTTTTGGACGGAATTGCTGAAATTGAAACGCTGCAAATAACAGTGCTTTGGATTAGCGTTTTGAAATAGGCAATGATGACTTTACCGACCTAGAGGTGGGCAAACCGAGTGAGAGTTAGAAAATATTACAAGTATTAATCGAGTAGAAAATTCGGCAGAGTAACAGTACACTTGAAATCAATATTGTGATCCCTTTCCACAAGTTGGAAGGTAATTGTTCAGGTTTATTCTTCCATCTCTGAGGGCACGAGTACCTAGCAAATAAGAGGGGAGACAGTAAGTAGGTCGAGTTCTTATTAGATAATCAAGAACGATTAGAGCACACCCTACTGAGGTCGATGTTGAGCGACTAGTCTAAGCTGTGAGTACAGAAGATTAGAAGCTAAAGCTAGTCAATCCATAACAATGAAATAAATACTACTATTTATACTACCATGAGGTATGTGGTAGTGGTGGTGTGGAGGATTGCCCATGCTTTAATGCATTTAATGCATTTCCCGCCAATATCATTGCTTTCCTGCCAATCTTGTTGGTTGCCCCAAACTGAGATCTTCATGCTTGCTGGCCCCAACAACCAAATCTTATGTATCTGGTGCATTTAATGTGTTTCTCGCCAATATCCTTGCTTTCTTGCCAATCTTGTTGACTGCCCCAAACTGAGATCTTCATGCTTGCTGGCCCCAATCAAGACAAGGCCATGGTGCCGCGCGACGTATGCCAAACACTTCCGCCGAGGCTATCCTTTCTTACTGACCCAATGAGGTAAAGCAAAGAGGGGGCGTGTCGAGCAGTCCCATCTTGTGCAGCTCGGGATGGGCTGAGAGTCACTTGGGCCTTAGGGCTCTTGAACTTTTCTCCTTATGGGGTATCAGGTCGACTTCTCACCGGGCCAATTGCCCCAACACAAGTCCCCCACTTCTAATGTTCCGAGCGTGCGCGGGACATAAGGAAATATAGATGAGAGCTTATCTTGAACCGAGTGTCTCTGATGCTCCTGGTGTGCCAGTTGTTTTAGGCGATTCCAGAGAATCGAGTTGACGGTTATGGCGGCTGGATCAACTTCCCAGGTAAATGTAATGATTACTCGTATGTTGATCTCTGTGTGACACATGTGCTGGGATACGCTCCTTACCATGTCTCGCCCTGTGATTGGTCATCAAGGAAGTGGAGAACCCTATAAATATCCGCTTAACTGGTTGGATCGAGGTTTTTCAAATTTCTGCTCACCTTCTCTCTCAGTGCTCCAGGTTCTCTCTACCCAGGGTTTTGCCTTTAGTTTTTCATTTGTCCTCTGAATGAGGTAATTTTCCTCTCCAACCCTCTTCTTCATGTTTATAGATGTCCAATCCTTCGGGTCACGATTCCGCTAGTCCTCGTTCCTCGAGATCTGATACAAACACTCGCCCCTCGGAGGAGTCTCTCGCTACAGTACGGGAAGATGCTGATGACGTGGCTGCTCAAGATGATGTCGCTCAAGCTCCGCCCGATGATCATGATTCTTGTGGTGAGGCCGGCCGCGTGATATCTCGCGCCACGAGGTGCTCCTGGAGAACGCCCGGGGCTGCGAGCACTTCTTCTCTGATCACTCCATGGAGCACAAGAGCAGCTCCCAGTTTACCTGTCACCGCCTATTGTGTCACGCCCCAGACCGCATTTAAGCGCGTGTACAACCGTCGTATGACTAATTGACGTCACTCGCAAGTCAAAATGACTAAATCATACAAAGCGTCCATGAACACAATCCATCCATACTCAATAGTAAACATATATAACAACATCACATTTAAACCAATGAATAGCGAAAATATTCACCGGTAAAGCGTGGGCCACAACTGGCCAAAACATGGGCTCACAGGCCCAAAATAGTTTATAGTAAATGAAATATCTATGAGCAAATGTTTGGTAGTTTGAAAGGAAATAAGGAAGCACGAACCACATCTTCCTTGAATTAACTTCACCCGTAAGTAGGTGCAGGTAGCAAGCACTAGCTTTAACCTGAAAAATGGTGCCCCCCGAAGGGGTCAGTACAAGTACCGAGTGAGTAGCAATCTAAATGTAGCATAACTAACGTTTCAAGTATAAGACCCAAACATAGGGTGATACATACCCACATAGTACTCTCCCCCCAAGTTATAAAATACATATCAGTATATATATACACTTGGAAATACATTTGAGGTTTGAGGACAATACTGTCGTCCCTGGGTCTCCACCGTTTATACACCGAGTTTTGAGGACAGTACCGTCATCCCTGGGTCTCCACCGTTTACATATACATTCCTATGATATACCACATATCATACATAGAGAGGGTCTATATCATAATCATTTATCAAGACTAAACCAAGTCTTATAGCCTAAGCATAACAATCCATGCAAAATCATGCACGAAAATCATCATTCGGGACAAAACAACACCTAACCGGCTCCGGCTCAGCCATAACCGGTGCCGGTTCACATTTAAATTCATTTATTTGAATGCCCCGTACTCAAACCGGCGCCGGTTATAGCCTAAACCGACGCCAGTCCACTTTCTCATTTGCGGACAACGACCCATTGACCGCCCGAACCGACTCTGATTGATCCGAAACTTAACCCAAACATGAATTAAGTCTTACACAATCAATATTTGCCATTTTGGCCATCCAAAACATCACACATGTTTTTATATCATTTTCATATCATTTCTCATGCATAATCTTTATGGTTCACTTCACATAAGTCTAATCATCTTGGCTAATCACATGCTTAAACCATTTTAAACATCATTATGAAGACATATAGCATTTACTTAGGTAATCTCATACGTAACCCAAGAGTTACAAGACATTAATGTTGGAAGTATGCTCTAGGACAATCATACTTTATGATTTATCAATGAATATTTAATGCTCATTAATTAATAAAGTCACAAACTCATTTTATGTTAATTATTATTGTGAGTTTTCTTTATTAATATTTAGTCCCTGAATATTATGTTTAGTAGCTAATTAAGTACGTGACTTAATTTTGGAATGCTACACTTTAAAATAAGCATAATATTCTAATTGTCCATGGTCTAATATTATTAATCTGGGACATTAATAATTAATAGACCTTAATTAGAGCTCGGGATCGTTTTCTCGGACTGTCTGACATCCTTGATTAAGATTGCTATGTAAGTCCCTCTTATATTTTGTAATTTCGTTTATAGTAAGAACCTCAGATCCGGTTGTTTACTTTTGGGCAGTATTTTTTTTGTTTATTCCGCTGCGTTTTTCTGCCCGAAACCCAACAGTGGTATCAGAGCCTACAGTTCTTTATTATATTCGGGTTACCTGATTTAATATATAATCAGTAATTTGATTATTTTGGGATTTTTCGGAATTAATTTTTATTAATTTCGGAATTAGTTTTTTTATTAATTTCGGAATTTATGTGTATTTATATTCCGATTTTTTTTGGTAAGGATGTGATATTCGAATATTTCGAATTTGATCCAATATATATTCACAATTATATTTGGAATATTTTGTGATATTATTTATTATTTTTCGGATCAGATCTGAATGGAATTAGG